CCCGACATTCTAGTCACTGACCTGGGTTTCCTATCTCTGCAGAGAATCTCCGCCCCGCTGACGCCTAGCCGCTTACTGTAAACCTTTGGTTAAAAAGAAAAAAAAACTGTTGAAAAACGTCCTGCTCGGTCTGAATATTGGGTCCTAGTTTCTGAGGGTATTACAGGATGAGGGAAACTAAGTTACATGTCCGAAACAGTTGTAATTATTAACTGCCTTTGGAGTAATCAGTAAGTCAGAGTGAAAGATTGTCGCTACTCTACCTCCTTGCTCAGAATTTCTGGGTATGTGAAAATTTAAATAACCAGAAGGAGTTGCCTCATTTATGTTCACATAATTCCAAAAAAAAAACAATCCACTGGACTTTTTTTTCCAAGTTTGAAGACATTTCGCTTCCCGTCCAGGAAGCTTTCTCATTTCAAAAAATCTGACATAATCCACTCGCTGCAGCCAAGTTTCTGTAAGGCAACATAAATCAGTATGATTATCAAAAATCAAGTCATTAACTAGCAGACTTTTTGAAGAAGGAGATCTCATGTTAGATAAACCACATTCATTCGATCAATCTTTTCCCCCAATTGGAGTTATTTTTATTAGATAAATGATTTTCTCCTTTGGGTTTCTTTTCTAATTTTTTTTATTTTGGTAGTTGCCAAGACACTGTCTGGATGGAGTAATGAGTGGGTAACAGTAGAGAAGCTGCAGAGAGGTATATTAAACTACAACTCTGCTTCCTGGTCTGCACCCTGGGTTGTCGGTGTTTTGGAGGACTAATAAAAAAGGAAGTGCTGCACCATCTAAAGTGGGATGGATGCCGTCTCTCCGAATCAGACCAGGCTATGAGCAATAAGATTGCCAATTATTAATGTAGCTCCTGTTGGTACCCACTTACTGGCTTTTATGGTCCGACTGGCTATTAGTTCTGGTTTCTGCAAACTCACCGATGGTAACTTTAATGAAAAGCAGCTGTAAAATTTCTCCTAACTTCTCACCTCAGTACTAAAACCTTGATGCTTAGTTACATTAATAATCTCTGCATGTGTTCATGTGTAGTACATTGACTCTTTAAGAGTTATTCCAACAACTGCAGTAAGATATACACTATGTAGAGTTCTAATTTAGCACTAATTCCAAGTGGGACCAAATGCACTCTGAAAGTGTTACTTTAAACACTGCAAAATTTACTGTTTGCCTCTCAAAGTTTCTATGGTGTAGGGATTTGTAGTGGAAAGCACATGTGCAGCTAAGTCATTTGACTGTTGTTGGGGTTTTTTCTGTTATAATTAAACAGTTGTTTAATAAATAACAAAATCTGACACCTTTGAGAAATATTTTAACACAGAGCTGAATCTGCAGAGTCTGTAAAATCCCTATTAGTGCACAATAAGTGATTATAGTTCTGGACTGAATCATATCTTCTGTGTTTGGTGCTGAAAATGTTTCAGTGTTGGAATGAATCATGAGTGTAGCTAATGGAAATGAGACATGTGCATTTATTAGAGCAGTGAATCAGTGAGTAATCAGTTCTTTATAAGCTGGCTTCTTCCTGCACTGGATTTAAGGCCTTCTCTTACAGCAGAGTCACAGATTCGTCACACTTGGTGGCATGTGCTCTGGGAGATCCTCAAAATGAGTGGGTGATCCAGCCAATTCTCAGCATCCATCCCCTCCTCCATCCACTTTTCAGAAAATAGATTTTCCTCCTGGAATACACTAAAAATATACATTTACTGACATGCCTTTGACTCTATGAAGGCTCCTTCTCTCCCTCAGAGTGTAAAAGCAATAAATGCAGCTGGCTAAAAAGATTCAGGATGCTTCTTGTTGATGGAAACCTTTCCTTTGTTTCTTCATCATGTCTTTTTCCTTGGAACGAGGTTGACGAGATCTTTGATGCAGCAGAGCTGGAAATGTTCCCAGTCATGTAGCTGTGCTTTAATAACACACCTGCTGTCCAGCTCGGTCCTCTCTCTGAATATTTGTTCTCAGGAATCAGAGCTGCTGTTGTTACATAATGCTTCTGGTTGTCCCGTGAGATGTGTTCAGTATGCAGAATAAAGTGGACGGATCTGTTTTACATTTGCTGAGATGAGGATCTTTACCTGAGGCTTAAGTTCTTTTTGCACTTTATCTCCTGGGCTCATTGGAGAAGCAGCCAGCTAAAGGTTTATTACAACACAGAACCATCTGGGTCATTGAGTATTTAAAAATCTCCAACTGTTTGATATTTCTCTTCTGTCCCCTAGTGGACAAACACTGAAATAAGCCCCTGTGTGCAGAAAAGTTGACCAAGAAATTAAGTAGCATTGCTTATTTTTAATGTGCGAAGCAAATAGTGATTGCACATAAAAACAGCAGGAAATGGAAAGAACCTTAGGCCTAAACATCTGTCCCACATGCTAACTCTGCATGCTGGCCGGTCATACATGCAGGGGAGCTAAAGACAAAACCACCAAAGACCAAAACATCTGAAAGGAGCAGATTGATGTTAATCAGATTATTTATATCTAAGGTATGTTATCTTTCTTCTATTATATGTTAATTTATCCTATTTACTCACTATAAAAGTTTTCACTCAGTCTGTTTCTCTCTCAGGGCCACACCATTCTCTGCAGGATGATGTTTGTAGACCAGACATTGCTTCTTCCCATAACAAATCAGGTTCTTTCTCAAGGTTTATTCATAACATGTTACTGTTAACCAAAGTGTGTGTAATTTGTTATGACTCTGACTACTTTCCCATTGTTGTAAGTAAGGAAGAACGAACGCTGCCCAGATCAGAACAGAGCAGAATGCTATGCCATGAAGGCTGTATGAAGAACTTTTTTCTCTTTGCAAAGATATGAATAAATGTGCCGACTGAGTGAAATCCATCGATCTCCGTTTATTTAACTAGGATGAATTGTTGAATACTTTTTTCCACGACAGGTACAACAAGAAATCAATGTTTCATTGTTGACATGTTTCAATTTGCTTCCAAATAAGCTGCTGACATTAGACTATGTGTTTAGTATACAACAATGCATATGTTAAACAGTTGCTTTAATATCAGAGAACCTGAAAGTACATGAAAAGAGCCACTGCAAAAAAAGAAAGAAAAAAAAATCAGAGCAATGGCTGTAAATCTTGAAAAAGAAACAAAAAGAAAATATTTAAAAATAGATGTATTTAATAAATGCAGGGAAATAGAAAATTTTTATGTGTATTTACATTCATCAGAACAGATGATGGATCCATTTTCCTGAAAAGGTAGACAAGGGAGACACCTCTGCATAGATACTAGCTGCCTTTCTCCAGACCACAGACCTCTTTAAGTGCTGTTAGCACAGAGGACCCTCTCTGCCGACCCGACTGTTCATTGCAGTTTGCCTCAGTTCTGATGGGTGGACACAGAACAGACTGAAACAATGAACATGTAGAAATGACCAGCAGCTCCTGTGGAAGGAGAAATGTTCATCTCCTTTCTTAGTGGATCCATCATCTGTCCTAACATTACCTACAAGCTGAATTCACATTATCACTATTGTATGCGTTCAAAAGGGAATCTGTGTTGTTGCACACTGCAAAAATTATCAAGAAATAAGTAAAAAAATTGTTAGTAAGTGTATTTACTCTTAATTTGAGTATGTAAATAAGATGCTTTGCAATAGAATTAGTATATTTACTCTTAGAATAAGATAGTTAGATAGTTAGAATATGTACTTGGAATATGAAAGTACAATTGTTTTTTCTTTTTTTTATGTAAATTGTCTTGTCATTTGGCAAAGTGTCTCACTTCCCTCCTCAAAAAAAAAAAAAAAAAAAAATATATATATATATATATATATATATATATATATATATATATATATATATATATATATATATATATATATATATATATATATATATATATATATATATATATATATATATATATATATATATGTGTGTGTGTGTATGCTATATGTGTGTGTGTGTGTGTGTGTGTGTATTTATATTTATTTATTTATATTTCTATATTCTGCAGTGAACTTCCACTGTTTAAGAGCCAAAACAAGTCACCCAATCATCTTCCAGTATTATGGTTTAAGGAAAATAAAGTAAATAAAAATAAACATGGCAGTGCAGGAGGATACACTGGAAAAAATCGAAATCTAGATGAGTAATTATTTCTTAAATTAAGTGCATTTGTTCCTTGACAGAGGAGGTAAAAGTGACATTTTGCCAATGGAACAAGACAATTTACACTTAAAATTAAAAAACACAATTGCGTTGTCTTATTTAAAGTTCATATTATCTGATTATCTTATTGTAAGAGAAAAGAAATACTCATTCCATTGGCAAACTATCTCATTTACCTACTCAAATTAAGGGTAAATATACTTAATTTAAGGAACTTTTTACTCATTTCTAGATTGTTTTTCCAGTGTAAATGTGTAGCTTCTGCTTCCAAACCTGTTTATCAGAATCCATGAATACGTCTTTAAAAGAGGAGCTGCAAAATCATAAAAGCCAAAGTCTTTGTGGTTTGTTTACTGCTATGTGGGCACTAGGTGTCACTTTGTCAAATCAGCCTCGGAGTTTCTGCTGAACAGATCCAATCAGAATAGTCCCACATTAATCATGGGTAGAACTGATCATGAGTGCTAAACATCAGTCCAGATCAGCATGTTAAGCTTTTCCTAAAGATGGGAGAATGTTGGAGCTCCCATAGTAGTCTTAAGGAATCTCTCTGATTTAGCAAACTTCTAAAACAATATTCTTCATGCATCTAAATGTATCAAACATCTGTGCTGCAGTAGAGCTGGTTATGGAACAACAGGCTGAACTGAAGGCAGAAGATGAAGAGGATTACCTGGCCCTAAAAAAAGCTGCTTTATATTTCCTAGTATTTTGTAATGTGAGGATGTCATTGGCTCCATGTGGAAGGAATCCGTTGATCTTTAACAGAAACTGATTTGGACTAAAAATAAAACCTTTACTTTCTTCTCTCCTTCCTGTCCTTTTTCTATCTGCAGGTGGCCATTATCGCTGGAAATTTTGAGCTCGCTGAACTCATCAAGAACCACAAAGACTCTGATATAGGTGAGTCCAGAGTCCCTCCTTACCTTTCATCCAGCTCAGCTCCTTCTTCCATCACCGCCGACTGTCTGTTTCTGAATCCTACTTGGGATACATTTCAAATCCCCCAATCTTTTCATCCTCCTAATTGACTTTCCTCTATAATCCCTCATGCTGGATTATCAGTGCGTTGCCGTGGGAACCAAAGTTTATCCTCACACCAGGACGATTCCTGGGCGCCAGGATGTGGGAACTTGGTCCTGCTGAAGCTGATTTGTTGCTGATTTCCATTGAATCAGATTTTTCTTCATTTAGAGGGGAGATCTGTAGGGGATCTGGTCAGGACTTTTTAACTTCATTGTTTGATAGATTCCAGCTGTTGTGCTTCTGTTCCAACTCCTTCTTCTATGAGGCATATTTTTCTCGTTATTTGAGCAGCTTGATTTTAGAGATAATAAATAAACATCTGTTTCTTTCATGACTTCATCTCCTCCAGGAACGTCCATTAGCTGTCCCCCCACCCCACTTAGTTTTTTCATTTCATGTTAGGTTTAGTTCATTTTTCTCCCCCCGCACCCCCCCCCCCCTAGCTCCCCCTGCTCATGCATAACAGGGGAAAATAAAAACTCACTATTTATGTCTTTGGGTTCTCAGTGACAGAAGCTCTTAAGCATTTAAAGACGTAAAGGAACAAAAGCTGATATTTTACCAAAAAAAAAAAAAAATATGCAACAGTGGAAATTAATTAACAGTCATCATGGACAACACCTTCCACGCTCTGCACCAGAGTGTAGAGGAGCTGAGCAGCTCCTTTAGTGAAAGACTCTTACACCCTGTTTGTAAAAAGGATCACTAAAGCAGGTCATTCCTCCCTTCTGCTACCAGATAACCTGACTCCGCCAGATAGATTTGCTCCGCATATCCATCTGGAAACCTTCCGTTTAAGTAATTTTGGGAAGGGGCGAAAATACTGGTTAGCTGATTGGCCTATGTTGGTGATAGACGGGCCAAATAAACCAATCAGATCAACGAAGCATATGACGTAACAGAGCGACAACGAAGAGGAGCCAATTGATAGATCAAACTCTTGCCGAAACCAGTCGGGAGAAGAGCAAAAACATCTTTTCCTCTGAGAAAAGCCTCCAGAGCAGTGTTTTGCTCTTCTTTCAGTGAAGAAATACTCTGTAATTCCGATAAAACTTGCTAGATAGCCACGATAACGCTAGTTTCATCGGCTGAAGCCGCCATGTTCTTTAGACTGAACTGTCGCGCTTCTCGTTGCGTCACACCTCAACCCGCCTCAAAGCCAACGCTGATTGGACGTTCGTTTGGTGAACGGCTCCAAATTTTCTTCAATGGAGAGTCTCCAGACTGATTAGCGAGTGAAACCTTGAAAGCTTGCGAGATCAGGATGGTCTCACGAGGCTAACCACCAGACTCTACAATGAGACACTACAACAGCAATAACTTGTGCAATGTATAATGAGCAATTAGTATTCAATACCCTGTGCAATAACCTGTATAAAAATTCTGCTAAATAAGAGACTTCAGGTGTCATATATGTGCGGATCCACTGTATATACTGTTTATATCCCATGCACCTTTTCCTCCTTTTGTCACCTACTTCTTCTCCTTTGACTATTTGAGCTGATGTAACGAGTACATTTCTCCACTGTAAGATTAATAAAGTCAATCAATCAATCATTTTTTTTTTATATGAGTTTTTAGAAGTCCATCAATAAATAAATGTTTTCAGGACTTGCAGAACATCTCCGGTAAATGTTGGGATAGGTTGTTGTTTTGTGCACAAACCTTAAATTTAAACTTGAATGGCAGCTGTGGTTACAGCTGAGCTTCGACCTGGAAGGAATAAAGAGTTTAGATCATTATTGAATTTTTTTGAAAACATTCCAAACACAGCCATTCAGGAAAAAGTACTTCTATAGAACCATTTAACACACAAAGGTGTTTTTTTTTTCTGTTGGCTCACAGATAGTGAAAACATCAAACCGATAAAAAACACGTTTTACTAAAGAAACATCGCGATTTGTTCTTTATAATCTTGGATAAAGCTGCCGTTAGCGATGGAGGAACTTAATTTGAATGAATCTTCAAACATCAGATCACTGATGTGAGGGTTTAGGTTTATAACACAGAGAGTTTTCATAGATTAAAGGTCCCTTACAGAATGTAAAAGAAGATAAGCAAACAAAAAGTAGATGAAGGACGGAAGAGTCTGTGGGGAGGGGAGGGGGGTGTAATCCAATCTACAGATGTAATCCTGCCATTGTTGACCTCATCAGGCTCACACAGGAGTGACCTGATGAGAGTGGAACACAACGAAAACCGGCCTGCTGTTAACATCTGTTGGACCCGCCCCTCCATTCGGACCGTGTGCCAATCAGAACCAAATGCCTTTGATGTAAACTGAAACAGAGACTCACTCCTTTCGCATCACTCCTGCTGATTGCATTATGGGATATCCTCGCTCCTGCATTCTTGTTTGGCCGCCATGGGTGTTACCTGCTGTAAAGGTTGGTTCTCCCCCCTCTTTTATTCCCCCCCCCCCCCCCCATCTCTTCTCCTACCTGCCTCAGGCACTGAAGAAAAACCCAGCTTCTCCTATTGCTCCCGTCTGGCCTGTTCAGCCTCATCCTGGCTCTAAGCTGCTTTGGTTTGTCTGAATTTTGATCACTGTGACTTAAACACTGTGTTTGTGTGTCTGGTAAAAGGGAGCCTGAGGATTTCACCTTTTTATATTTGGTGCAGATGATGTAAGGGTTTAACTTCATGACTTTATTTTTCTGACGTCAGAGGTTTTAAGACCTGAAAATCAGCTGCAACCTGTGAAGCTGCAGAACAGGCATCTGGATTGATGCAGTTTATCTAAACCATAAACTTAAAAATAAATGTCTGTGGCTCTTCTTCAGTTGTGGAAAATAATCTTTATTTAGCTGCTGCTCAAGGTTAGGAGAACCAGTTTATAAATGTGTGTAAAATGCTGCAGCTTTATTGAGAACTGGAATTAAAATTTGGCCTAAATATATGAAACTCATGATTTTCTTGCGTTTTGCCTAAAATGAGTTAGTTTAGCAGGAATTGTTGTTGAGCATTCACACCGAATGCAAATGCTGCAAGTGGAGCAAGAGATTTTCATGTTATCCTTTGTAAAGGCATGTTTAGGAGTGAATAAAAGCAGAAGGAGTATAGACATGTTGGACATGAGGTTAGAGCAAAGTGAAACTCTGCTGGTATTCTGAAATCTGAACACTGATTTAACTGACCAGGGACCAGATCTGGTTGTGATGTAGGGTGAGGGGTATTTCAACGTAATCTGAATAATAATTTAACTTTATTGATCTCACATCGGAGAAATTTACCTCTGCATTTAATCCATCCCCTTTGGGAGCAGTGGGCTACCATTGTATGGCACCCGGGAATCAACCGAGGGTTAAGTGTCTTGCTCAGGAGCTGAGAGTGGAGGCAGTGGGGACCGGGTCCTTGCAACCTTCTCAAGGCACAAGCTAACTGCTCTAACCCACTATAAAAAATTAGCCGGCTACTTTAATTATTTATTTTTAGCGTATCAGCCCTTTAACTGACATCTAGACTCCCTCCACCAGGGCTCTGTCCAGCGCATTTCAGCACAAACACTGGTTACACTGAAAGCTGTCAAAATGACACTGGAATTTTGTTGATACACTGGCTGTAAAAGACTATACACACATTTATCGTTATATTTGCACATTTACGTGAGAAAAATACTTTGAGAATGGAAATGACATTAATAAAATTAAAAAAGCCCTTTTGACTCACCCTGTTGGGGAAGTCAAAAATTCAATGTGAATGCGCCCTAAAAGTGAAATCTAGTGTCTGGTATTATAAAACTGAGCGATGAAAGCTGATAACAGCTAGCCTCGTGAGACCATCCTGATCTCGCGAGCTTTCAAGATTTCACTCGCTAATCAGTCTTTAGACTCTCCGTTGAAGAAAATTTGGAGCCATTCACCAAACGAACGTCCAATCAGCGTTGGCTTTGAGGCGGGTTGAGGTGTGACGCAACGAGAAGCGCGACAGTTCAGTCTAAAGAACATGGCGGCTTCAGCCGATGAAACTAGCGTTAGCGTGGCTATCGAGCAAGTTTTATCGGAATTACAGAGTATTTCTTCACTGAAAGAAGATCAAAACACTGCTCTGGAGGCTTTTCTCAGAGGAAAAGATGTTTTTGCTCTTCTCCCGACTGGTTTCAGCAAGAGTTTGATCTATCAATTGGCTCCTCTTCGTCGTCGCTCTGTTAGTACGTCATATGCTTCGTTGATCTGATTGGTTTATGTGGCCCGTCTATCACCAACATAGGCCAATCAGCTAACCAGTATTTTCGCCCCTTCCCAAAATTACTTCAACGGAAGGTTTCCAGATGGATATGCGGAGCAAATCTATCTGGCGGAGTCAGGTTAGATAACATCATGACCGTATCAAAATGCAATGAAGAAAAACACGGAAAAAGAGAGCACAATTATTACACTGCAGCAGTTAATGCTTCTGCTGCAGAGATATCTATGGATATGCATAGAAGTTGAATAATTTGAGGTATGACCATTTAGACTGCAGACACGTTTAAAATAATCGCATACATATCTAATTAGGTTCCAAATACAAAAGAAGCTTATATAAGATTTGGGCTGAAAAGCTTGGAATTGGGCCATTTAGTAAACTTGGAAAATATGGGTCACTTATTGGCAAAAACCAGATTTGGATCAAAGTGATGTTCTGTGTGAAAATAGCTTATAAAAATCAGAATCAGACATACTTTAATAATCCCAGATGGAAATTACATGACGAACTGGATCTGACTGGAAACGGATTCTGAACTACCTGAACTTTTTTAGTGAGAAAGTTTAATAAACCTGTCCTATTCTGCAGACAGATAGAAATACAATGATTTTATTTTTGCCCCTCCTGCGATATGTTTGATAACTAGATTTTAGCCTTCATTTATCATTCACGCTTGTCTGCATTCAGCA